AGCATCAGGAAACATATATCACCATCTTATCTGTATATAAACAGAGCATGCTGAAGGTAAACACAAAATACTACTTTGTACAGATTACTCAGATTGTTTCAATTATTTAAAGTAAAAAGCAGTATGAGTGACAGATATTTAGATTTTCAAGTTACAAATAATAACATATCACTGACCATATCAAAACAGTGTTTAGAAAGGAACATATTTTAGTGAGTGATCACTTGCTATCCCACATATGGGTCTGATTAGTGTATATTGCCGTCTAGTTATCTCATCTATGTAAATATCTCCATAAGATGTGCATGTAAACATTTTATCTGTTTTAACACAGGAATAGACATGGACTCCTTGATACTTCAAAGCTGGTTCAGGGGGGAATTGGTAGTCTCTTAAAGTGAATCTGTTAGACATGTTTAAACTTGAGCTAAAATGTCCTCAAATACAGCCACATCATAGAAAAATATGATGAATTTAATATAAAATATTGAGATACTCAACCAGGGCTGGTGCTAGGAAATGTGGGTACACAGGTGTTTTGCCCCCTCCCCCCACTACACAATGCATCTTCACCTGTGTGTGTCATAACCCATCTTTTTGGATTTCCTACACCTTTTAGCCTCTTTTGTGTTTTTCTTTACCCCCTCTTGCATCTTGAGTATTACACCCTATTGAATGTGTTTTGTCACCCCTTTTGTGTGACTTACACCCCTTTGTGTGTCTCTTATAACCCCCTCTTGTTTATCTCATACATCCCCCAAACCCCTTTGTGCATCTCTTACTTCCCCGCCTCTTAGTGTAGTGCTTTCTCTGCCCTCCCCACCTCATCTCACCCCCCAGTCCCTTTGTGTTGCTCTTTACCCACTCTGCGTGTTTTCTGTGTCTTTCCCCAGTGCCTTTGTGTGTATTTTTCCTCCCCAGTCGTACAGACATATACACAGGCAGAAATACATACATGCACAAAGACACAAACATACAGACACACAATCACAAAGATATACAGATACACAGTCATACAGCCACTGGACCCCAGGAAAAGGGGAACCCCCCTCCCCCCCACAGCATTCCCAAAGGTAAGGAGGCTTGGGGGG